ACCACCTCAATAAAATGATTTTCATTTCCCAGGAGACTGAAATTCCATCTTTTCTTCATCTTTGAGCCCCGTGGTTTCAGGGATAATCCAGAGCTTGATGGGATTTTTTTGGGAGCTGCTCCAGACTCCAGGTCCCAGTTTTCCTGCCAAACAGAGTTCTTTATCACTTTTGCCTGGATTTTGATTTCTTTCCCTTCATGGGTTGAGTTTCTACCTCAGGAGCTTCCCCCTGAGCTGATTTCTGGTGCTGAAAACTTCCTGGCAAGTCTTCCATGGCCGCTCCAGAAATGCTTCCTCACCTTCTGAGCAAGCGATATTTAATTACTCTGCAGTGGGGCCGTTCCTGCATTTTAATGGCAGCTGGATCCCTCTGCGCCTCCTCATCCTGATTTTCCTGCTTTTTTTCCTGTGGGAGATGCGGAATTGCTGCAGAATTACAGAGCATTAAGCAGGAAAACAGTCAGGTCCAACCAGGATTTGGGGTTCTGTCCCTCCTCAGTGGTTCTTTCCTCTGCAGGGATTTTTCCAGCAAGGAGACTCCTGAGGAGCAGCCATGGGAAACTTTGGGATGGGGCTCCAATGAGGCCTTTTCCCCAGAGAAATGGGGACAGCAAGGAGCAGGAATAAGGGAAGAGCAGGAAACCCTCTGGAGAAGCAGAGGGAAGCTTTGGCCTCGGCTTGGTGAGGCAAATCCCAGGAAAACAGGGCTATTTAGGATTAATAAAAAACCTTGGAAAAGCTACCAAAACAGTTTCATTTCCCTGCAGATTTGAACAGGGAGCGGATGGGGGTTCATTATAACTCATAATAAGTTTTCCTTATGTAGGCAAAGTCCCAGTGGATTTTCTGGGTGATAATAAAGCAGGAATGAAGTGATTCAGTCCCTTCCATGCAGACAGCAAATCCCTCTCTCCTCTCTCCTCTCTCCTGATGAGCTCCATCCATCATTCCCAGAGCTGCCTGGAGCCACAGGGACCCTGTTCCTGCTGGGCTTCCCCTCCTGCCTGCAGGTGCTGCTGAAAACTTGGGAATATTTGGGAAATTTCTGTTCCCTGTCCATTTCTATGGCCCAGTTCGGGCTCACTGGGTTCTTCTTCCCCTCCTCTGAGCCTTTTCCTGCCCATCTGCATCACATCCAGACTTTTCCCTTTAACACAAATTCTGCCCTGATTTAGAGTTCCCAGAAAATCCATTGGCCCTGATCGTCATCTCCCAGTAATTGGAAAAGAGACGTAAATCAAACTAATTGCAGACGAGTTAAAAATGGCTTTGTTTGCCATAGCTCAGGCTGCAGATCCCCTCTGGGAGGACCTTGGGATCAATGAAACCCCTGGATGTGTTAAACCAGAGCAGGGATCCTTTTTTCCTCCTGGCTGCCCCAGGAATGAGTCTGATCCCATTCTCTGTGGGGACATGAGAATAAAAATTTCCCAGGTGCTGGAACATTCCAGTGATTCCCTCCTAAACCATCCCTGCTGTGGCTGTGGCTCAGGTGGCACCGTGGAGAGGGAGTTTGGAATGGTTTGGGTTGGGAGGGACCTTAAAGCCCCTCCAGTGCCACCCCTGCCATGGCAGGGACACCTCCCACTGTCCCAGGCTGCTCCAGCCCCATGTCCAGCCTGGCCTTGGGCACTGCCAGGGATCCAGGGGCAGCCACAGCTGCTCTGGGCACCTGTGCCAGGGCCTGCCCACCCTCCCAGGGAACAATTCCCAATTCCCAATGTCCCATCCATCCCTGCCCTCTGGCAGTGGGAGCCATTCCCTGTGTCCTGTCCCTCCATCCCCTGTCCCCAGCCCCTCTCCAGCTCTCCTGGAGCCCCTCAGGCCCTGCAGGGGCTCTGAGCTCTCCCTGGAGCTTCTCCTCTCCAGGGGAGCACCCCCAGATCTCCCAGCCCGGCTCCAGAGCAGAGAAGGACCCAAACAAACCCAATTTTTCCTCTGTCACCTCCATCCCCCTCCCAGCCTGCTGCCTTGGGCTGATTCCAGGAGCCAGGGACAAACATCCTTGAGGAAGAGTCAGAGTGGGACACAACGCTGTGAACCCAAAACTGCCCTCCCCGAGCCCCAACCCCAACTTTTCCTTTCCATGGATGCATTTTCCTGGAGCTTGCTGGAGCCTGGAGAAGGGATGGGAATCCACAGGCAGCCCTAAAGCAGAGATAAGAGATAAGAGGCAGGGATTTGGCTCTGATGGAGCTGTTGGAAACAGAAATATTTATCCAGCGTGATCCTTCGGGAAGATCAGAATTCCTTTTCCTATTCCATGCGCCCGTGTCTCCCCTCCCTGGAGCTGCTCCAGCCTTTCCTGCGGGTTGAAAATAAAATCTAATCCATTTCCAATCCCTGCTCCCGGCCATCAGGGCTCTCTGAGCACGGTTATTATCGCGCTTGGCTGGCGGAGCATCCCGAAGGATTTAACTCCTGCCGGGCTGGGCTCCCTGGAACAGCAGCGGCCAAGAGACCCCAGGGATGTCCTGTCCCCTCTCCCAGCCTTTGTCCCATGAGGGGAGAGGCTGCAAATGTGCTGCTTGCAGGGAGGTTTTGTCCCAAAATGCCCATAAAAATGGAAAAAATGGGTTTTATTCCAGTTGGGAAAGCAGAGCTCCTAAATGGAGCAGAGGATCCAGCCTGTGGTGGTTTGGGGGGATTTCTCCTAAACCAGCAGATTGGGAAGATCAAATCTGCTCCTGAAATTCATTCAGATCAGGAAGAAACAAAAATTTTTCCATTTTCCTGCATGAAAATTCCACCAAATACTTCACAGCCAAGTGAGACAACCAGTTCTTTCCCCATGGAATATCCCAATTCCTTTGTGGAATCCTGTGAAAGCAGCTCTGAGCTGCTGGGACATCTCAGCTTGGAATCCAGAGGGAAGCAGCTGAGGCCATGCTTGGAGAGGAAAACCCCTCCAGCTTTCCTGCAGGGATTTGGTTGGAAGGGTTTCCCCCCACCACAGATCCCAAGGGAAATAAAATCCTTCTTGTTTCCTTTGCTGGACAATTCCTGCTCATTATTATTTGGGCCATGTTTAGATTATTCTGTCTGCAGCAGCCGATGGCATTTGCTCCGTGCCATGCAATGTTCCAGGTAATTAATTGGTGTTTAATTAATTAAGGAGTAATGACATTCAATTAAGGGAACACTGTCACTGGGTAATTAATGGCTTCCTGCTGCTCCAGGAAAGCTGAGGAATTTGTGGGAAATCAACCCAGGGGGAAGCTGAGGGGTTCATTCATTCCCCTGGGAAGGAGCTGTGTCCTGGGGATCTCCAATTCCTGCCCTGTTGAAACTCAAAATGTCCCTCAGACATTTTTAGAGGTTCCAAGCCCCAGTCAGAAGCATTTAAAACCTGGCAGGCAGCTGGAAACAGCTGTGATTTTAAGTTTAAGCCATAAAATGATTTACCAACTTTACAAGAAGAACAAGAAGTCACAAAAGTTTAAATATTATAGTAGAAGTAGTTACAAAGTAGAGGGAAGAATTTTTTAGTATTATACAGGGGGGTTTTAACACCTGTATGGGGTGGGGGTGGGTGGGGGAAGGGGGGTTAATTTATACATAAAGATAAAAAATTTTAAGATAAATGGATTTTTAGCCGGTCCTGTCCTTCCTCTTTCTTCTTCCTTACCTCCATGTCTTTAGTACTGTTGGCACTCACAAATTAGTTTAGAATAGAAAAGCACCATTTAATATAGGTAGTAAGTATTAAGGAAAAACTATAAAATTTATCACGTAATGTACCATATAAAAAATAGCAGCAGCCAAAGGCAAAAGAGAGAGAAAAAGAAGTCAGGGGACAGAGAGGATGTCAGGGTGTGTGTGTGCCTCTGCCTGAGCTGTGAGCAAACCACAGCAGCCCCAGAAGACAATCTTTTAAATAACTTACAATAGGTAAGAGAATTAATGTTTATCCCAGTGCTGCCATGAGGGGAGAGGCTGCAAATGTGCTGCTTGCAGGGAGGTTTTGTCCCACAATGCCCAAAAAAGATGGAAAAATTGGGTTTTGTTCCAGCTGGGAAAGCAGAGCTCCTAAAGGGAGCACAGGATCCAGCCTGTGGTGGTTTGGGGGGATTTCTCTTAAACCAGGAGATTGGGAAGATCAAATCTGCTGCTCCTGGAGAGCAGAGGATCATCCAAGAAAGATTCCAAACTATTCCACAACTCCTCTCCAAGTGCCAGCTGTGTTGGCTGGTGCCTAGTCAAGGAGTTGTTATTTTAATTTTAATTTTCGTTGAATTTTTGAGGGCGTGCAGCTTTCAGATGGCAAAATGGCTCTTGAGCTCAGCGTTTGCCACCCTCAGGCACCATGGGCAGCATCCAGGAAGGAGTCAGAAGGAATTCCAAGGCCTTCTGCCAAGAACATCCTCCTCCTCCTCCATCCCAAAATCCAGCCTGCCCCTGCAGAGCTGCCCCTTGCAGCTGGAGGTGATGCAGGCAGGGAGAGCCTGGAGTGTGTCCTTGGGTGGGAGAAGCTGTAATTCCCAGATCCTGAGGAGAATAGGGCTGCCTGCAGGTGCCAGATCCAGCTGGGAATGTTTGCCAGCTCCTTTTGGCACGGGCAGTGTCTCTGCAGCTCGTTCTGCTGAGGAGCCTCCAGAGAGCCGTGGAGAGATTCCAGCTCCAACTGCAGCTCTGGCTCAGCCCCTGCCCTGCTCCCTGAGCTCTGCCTGTCTCCCGGGAATTTGGGATCCTGTGCAGGGAATGATGTGGGATTAGAGCCTTTTCCAGGCTGCCCAGGGTCATCTCACACTGCAGTTCTCTCCATGTCCCTGTGAACACTTCCCCAAACATTTCCCTAAAAGCTTCCCCAAACACTTCCCCAAGCAGGTTACCGACCTGGCTCCATATAAAAGGAATAAAAATGTGGATCTGGTTGCCCCCTCCACAGCCCCACAGCCCAAGCAATTCAGGGAACTCCATCTCCCGGCCACTTGTAGGGCTCTGAAGAGCCAAATTCCCACAACTGCCCCGAAGCCATGAGGAGACTGGAGCTCATTTCAGACACCAACTTGATTTTATTGTTTGAAATGCCAGGGAAATTCAGAAATGTGGGGATTTCTGCTGGTCCTGGACATCGTTCCTTGTCCTACCCCCTCCAGCTGTACCTGTCCCATCCGTGGCCGTGGTGGGGACAGGCTTGTGACCCTTTCAACATCCACATGGCCTTCACGAGCCACCTCTGCTCCTCATTTTGGGAGCGTGGACACCCCGTGCCACTGCTGGAAACGCCACCCACCAACCCCTTCCTTGGGGTGGGAGCTGGGATCTGCTCTCAGAGCTGGTACTTCCTCAGCAGCTCGCTCTGCCACTGCCTCTTTTTGTTGGGAAAGGCGGCCGGGATCCTGATCCTGCGGAATTCCTCGATGCACTTGCCCAGCTCCGACTGCAGGGCCTGGCGCTCCTCGCTGCTGGCCGTGGCCATGGCTGTGGCAGTGCTGGTGGCCGTGGTGGTGGCTGGAGTGGCCTCCAGGCCGTTCTCAGTGACCACTGCCCGGTCCATGCCCGTGGCGGTGGCTGTGGCCGTGGTGGTGGCCGTGGCAGTGGCCGGAGTGGCCTCCAGGCCGTTCTCGGTGACCACTGCCCGGTCCGTGCCCCGCTGCTGTCCCTCCAGCAGCTTCCTCGGGGAGCTGTGCCAGCTCAGGGTGCTGGGCCGGGCTGGGCACTGCTCAGGAGCCTCTGGCCACGGTGGGGATTTTGGGGGGCTGGGGACTGTCCCCTCCCGAGCGTCCCTGCCAGGGCCGGGGGGTCCGGCAGCGTTCCCGGGGTCATCCCCATCCTGCCTCATCCCGGGGCTCTGCCTCGGCTCCTCCAGAGCTGGGGAGGAAAGCAGAGAGGAGTGTGAGGACATGAGGGACATGAAAGACCTGCTGGGAATTCTTTTAAAAATACACCTGGTGGCAGAGATACAAACCAGGTAAAATCTCAGGATTTTTCATAGAGGTGCACAGAGAGAAATGAAAGAGAAAACAATTTCCATTTCTGCTCCTTGTTTTTCCCATGTGGAATGTGTTTGGAGAATTGTTTACCTGGGTTGATTGCTTGGTTGGATTCTGGTGAGGATGTTTGAGCCTGATGGCCAATCCAACCCTCCTGGGGCTGGACTCTCGAGAGAGGGTCAGAGTTGTGTTAGAGTCAGAGAAAGTAGTATGTAGTTTCAGTATCCTCCTTTTATATAGTATATTAATGTATTTTAGCATAGTTATAATAAAGAAATCATTCAGCCTTCTGAATTGAGGCAGACATCGTCATTTCTTCCCATTGGGTTCACCTGCATTTACAATACTATTCCTATTTAAAATTCCTCACCCTCCACTTTGCCACCTGCACAGAAGCAGAAAATGTCAAGGGGGAATCTTATTTTTCCTTGAAAATTTCTGTAAGGACAGAGTCAGATTTTTTCCCCCTTTTCCTTCCTCTTTTTTTGTTTTTTTTTTTTTCCCATTTTGACATTTGCTGAGCAGCTCCAGCTCGGCAGTTGCTGGAGGTGGGAAGCAGGAATGTCACCCATCAGCGAGCAGAACCCTTGAAGGATGGATTTTCTCTGGCAAATCTCTCTGGGAAGTTACAGGAATGAATCTTTGCCCCAAATTCTTTGAGTGATGGCATGAAGCCTCAAAGCTGCTTTAATCATCTTATCTGTGAACCTGGGAGCTGCTTTTGGGAAACGTGGAGCTGAGGCTGGGGAATTTAAGCACCCAAATTCCCAGAGGGAGCCTCTGGCTGAGCTGGGGAATTAATTCAAATCCTTCAGTTCCTCTCCAGCATCTCAGCTCCCAGAGCATCCCCTGACTGTGGCTGCTTAGGGATAACATTTATTTTCCTAAGTTTTCCATTTTCCATCCCATTATTCCCATCTGAGGCACTGTTCAGGTCACCAGGCTGAGAGCAAATCCAGGTTTCCAGGGAATGGCTCTGAATGTTCCTCCTATCCTGATGTCCTTTGGGTGGTCTGGCAGAGCTGGTGCCAGGCTACAAACTCACATCCCTACAATTTCCCTGCTCCTAATCGCAGAATCCTGGAATGGTTTTGGTTGGAAGGACCTTAAAGCCCCTCCAGCCCCACCCCTGCCATGGCAGGGACACCTCCCACTGTCCCAGGCTGCTCCAAACCCTGTCCAGCCTGGCCTTGGGCACTGCCAGGGATCCAGGGGCAGCCACAGCTGCTCTGGGCACCCTGTGCCAGGGCCTGCCCACCCTCACAGGGAACAATTCCCAATTCCCAATATCTCATCCATCCCTGCCCTCTGGCAGTGGGAGCCATTCCCTGTGTCCTGTCCCTCCATCCCCTGTCCCCAGTCCCTCTCCAGCTCTCCTGGAGCCCCTCAGGCCCTGCAGGGGCTCTGAGCTCTCCCTGGAGCTTCTCCTTTCCAGGGGAGCACCCCCAGATCTCCCAGCCCTGGAGCAGCTCCATGGTCTCCTCTTTCCTGTAGCTTTGGTCACCCCATTTTCTTCTTCAGGTTTATCCTTCTCCCATTTCAGCCCATCTGGCGTTTAGAGGGTGCGACCCTCAGCTGGTCCAAGGACACCCCACAATCCCAGCTGCTGCTCTGGCAGAAGGGATCAGCCTGGCTGATTTGTCTGATCTTTTCTCCCACAGATTTGCCTTCCCTGGTGCCACTTGTGCTTTAGAGCTGCAATTAAATTCAGCAGCGACACTTCCGAGCGGCCCCGCGGAGCCGCTGGGATCCTGCTGGGGGCAATTACCGGCTCCTGGCGGAGGTTTTGTGGGAAGCACACCCTGTCCCCACCCCACAGCTCCACGACACCAATTTGTTATTCCAGAGGCTGTGGCAGGGCCGGGAGCTCGGGCCCAGGCTCACAGCGCTGCACTTGCTGCTCTCCCAACGCTGCTTCCATCCCCAGGGATGCTGGAAGGCCCTGGCATGGATGGGGGGAATAGAACATTCCTGGGTGATCCCAAATGAGGGGTCTTCAAATTCCTTCCAACCTCTTAAACTTGGGTGATGTGGGCAGAAAAAAAGAGATGGATAAAAATTTCCGAGCGAGCGTGTTGGGTTTGGGAAGCGTGGGAAGGGGGTACCAGGGTGTATCCCCAGGGTGTATCCTCAACATCCCACTGCCCAATCCAAACCAGCTGCTCCCGTGCCAGCTGCTGGATCCCATCAATCTCAGGACTTGGCTCTGCACACATTGTTCTGTTTTATGGGATTAATCCAGCTGGGAACAGCACTGGGAGCTTCCCTGGGCCAATGTGCTCTGGTACCCAGGCCCTGGCAGTGCCAGTGGTGCCAGCTGGATCACCAGGGAATCCTCATCCCTTGGCAGGGGGCACCAAGCTCAGGTGCAGAGTGTTGTTGGAGCCCCAAACTCGTAACACAGATGGCAGAAAACCCAACTCAACTCTCCCTGGATTCTCCTTCTGTAATCCATTCCAGCTGCTGGAAAAGCTCAGCAAGAAGCTGGGAAAAAAAACAACCAAACAAACAAAACCAAACCAAACCAAACCACCAAAAAACCAAGAAAAAAACCACCTCCAAACAGCAAAAGGCAGCTCCTGAACAACCTTGGAGCCCTGGGAAGGTAATCCAGATTTTCCTCTGTCCCACAGGTGCTGCCAGGAGGAGGCAAGGTGGGGTCAGGGATTTCAGGGATTTTCCTGAGGGCTGGGTGTTGGGGAGGTTCCTTGGAGGGGAGGTTCCTGGGCTGGAGGAGGGATGGACACTGGTACCTGCTGGTTCCGTGTGTTCCAGGGCTTGTCCACTCCCTGGAGTGTCCCGTGGTGGGCAGGAGCTCTGCTCCCCTGTTCCTCCCAGGTTCTCTGTGAGAACAAGAATTGCATAAATTGTGGAGATGTGCTCACAAACATCACCCTGTGGGTATGGAGCTCACAATTCCATCTTCTGTAGGAATCTTGGAGTCCTGGAATGATTTGGGTTGGGAGGAACCTTAAAGCTCATCCTGTTCCACCCCTGCCAATGCAGGGACACCTTCCACTGGCCCAGGGTGCTCCAAGCTCCATCCAGCCTGGCCTGGGACACTTCCAAGGATCTGGGGCAGCCCCAGCTGCTCTGGGAATATGTGCCAGTTTTATAAGGATGTTTGACTGCAGGATCTCAGTCCATGTTGGGATAATGTGATTGCAGGAAATGCCCTGGAGATCCTTTATCTAAATTAAATCAGTGTTTGCCGAGTGCTTGTGGATGTCCACAGGCTGGAGGAATGGCTGGAATGTGGGAATGCCTCCAGCCTGGAGTCCAGGGCTGCATTGCCTCATCCCTGGAAGAGTCCCAGGCCAGGCTGGACAGGGCCTGGAGCACCCTGGGACAGTGGATGATGTCCCTGCCCATGGCAGGGGGGGATTAGGTGACCTTTAAAGTCCCTTCCAACCCAAGCCAGTCTGGGATTCTGTTCCAGGACTCCTGAGCATGGGATGCTGCACAATTCTGACCCTTTTAGCCTTTAAATCCGCGTGTGTGTCAGGAGTGACAGATGGAGATCTAACTCCAGCCACCTTTTGTTATCCAGGACTTCAATCCCTCGGAGCTGGAACAAACCCGTCCGAGGTTTTTGTGCCTTTAATTCCCAGCCAGCTCCCGCCGGGATCTAAATCAGTCCTGGCCACTCCACCCCCTGAGCGAGCCGATATCCATCAGCACCTAATTACTGTTCCCGTTCATCCCACGGCGCCTTTATCTCCAGTTCCTCCCGATTCCCCTGATTCCCTGCCCTCCCTGCAGCTGGCAGGGCCCACGCCCAAGAGCTGAGCGAGGGGAGCAGTGTTTGGGGCTGGAATTTTGGCTGCCTTCATCACAGTTGATTCCTGCAATTCAATCCATCCCCTGTACAGCTGTTCTTGTTTCCAAAACATTCCCTTTTTTGTTTTTTGGGGAGCTCTGCTGTCGGTGTTAGGATGTTTCCTGTGGATCTGCGCAGTCCAAGTATTTTTTCTTGCTTATTTTTATTCATATATAAAAAATAGACCCATTTAGCTGTGGATATTCCCCATTCCCAGGAAAACAGAGAAAAAAACAAGAAAAGAGAGAACAAGTAAAGGTGTCCCAAATTCCCTCTCCAAGGGTCTCCCAATTCCATGTCCAAAGGTCTCTCAAATTCCCTCTCCAAGGGTCTCCCAACTCCCTCTCCAAAGGTCTCCCAAATTCCCTCTCCAAGGGTTTCCCAATTCCATCTCCAAAGATCTCCCAGCTCTCGCTCTCTTCTCTCCATGGGCAGAAGTTTTGCTTTTCCCAGAGCTGGGATGCTGCAGCTCCTCAGCAAATCCTCTGGGATAACATGGATGGGATGAGCAGGAGGAGCTGTGGGGCTCCCCTGGAAGTGCAGCCAGCTGAGGGGAGTGAAGGACAGCAGCTGTCCCACAGCAGGGCTTTGGATGTCTCCCCCTCACTTTTCCAGAGCAGCCACTGCAGCTTTATGGCCAGGGTGGGAATTATGATGGATTCCAACACCAGAGGTCAAATTCCGGTGGCAACGCAGAGACTTGGGCTGATGGGAGCCAACGGAGCCATCCTGCTTTCCATCAGCACATCTGCCTGGGCTGCAGGGCTTGGGACCACGTGCAGCAAAAGCAGCTTTCCCTCCTTGCCAAGCCCATCCATTTGGATAACCCTTTATTCCCCAAAAAGTTTTTCCAGGCCTGGCACAGCTGCCCAGGGCAGGACTCCCCATTCCTGGAGGGATTTAAAATCCCCAGGGATGGGCATTTGGGTGTTGCCACACTTGGGAATGGCTGGGCTATGGTCTTAGGGGGTCTTTCCCCATATAAATAATTCCATTATTCTAAGACCTGCCTTTTTTTGGGATTAGTGATCTGTAGTGTGGATGGCAATGATTGACAAGAATTTTCCAAGAGGAGCAGCTCCTGGTGAGCCTGAGCTGCATCCAACCTGGAATTGCTGTTCCCCACCTGGAGGTGCTGATCCCCACCTGGAAGTGCTGATCCTCACCTAGAATTGCTGATCTCCACCTGGAAGTGCTGATCTCCACCTGGAATTGTTGTTTCTCACCTGAAAGTGCTTCCACTGTGTCTCCCTTGAGGTCCAGGATGGGCTCGGAGGAGGACATGGGTTTTTTGGGGCTCTGCTCCGGTTCTGAAGGCTCAGGGACGGGAAGGCTGAGCCAGGAGCTTCCTAAAAATCAACACCCAAAGGAGAAAATCTTAGAAGGGAAATGATGCACAGGGAATGTGGGAAGAGTGGTGGATGGGGATAGAATCCAAAGCACCTCCCAGAGCGCCACGCTGGGTTTCCAGGGTGAGGAATGATCAGGAAAACTCCCAGTGCCTCCCAAACCCTTCTTGTGGTGATCCCAGAGCTTTGGGCAGTGCCTGTAACCACATCCCACATTTTCCACCAGGAATTGCTGTTCCTTACTTTGGTCCCACTCTCCTGCCTTTTTCCTAAACCTTTCCATCCCTGCCTTTCCATACCCTGCCTCATTTCCATGGATTTACAAACAGGGAGGAATACAAAGTGTTTCTCCTACACTGGGATTAGTGCTTCAGCTTTCCATCGTTTTCTTCCCTGACATTTCCACGCAGACACTTCATTTGCCACACAGCCCAGATGAGCCTTTGGATCCAGCTGCAGTTCCTGCCCCATCCAAGGGATTTTCCTCTCCATGAGTTGGAGTGGGATCATCCCATTGGCACAGAGAGCAGTAAACCCCCTGAACGCTCCAGTTGCACAGCTCTTCCCACCAGGCAGACAGGGAATCATGGAATCATCACCCAGAAAGGTCACCCAGGACACTTCCACTGTCCCAGGCTCTCCAAGCCCCATGTCCAGCCTGGCCTTGGGTACTTCCAGGGATGCAGGGGCAGCCACAGCAGCTCTGGGCACCCTCCCAGCCAGGAATTCCTTCCCAATATCCCACCTAACCCTGCTCTTCCAGAGGAGGATGAAGACTTTCACCAAGGCCACCCCGATTTGGGATAAAGGAAATCCTGCTCCACCTGGTCATGGGAAGCAGGGGATGCTCCAGCTCCCCAAACCCCCAGAGCTGAGCAGGATTCTGTGTTCAGTGGTTGCCAGAAACCAGGATAGCAGGAATTTGCCCACACACAGCATGGCCAGGTTGGACCTCCAGGATCCACTATGATCCAGAAGAAGGAGCAACCTCCAGGAGATGGCAGCAGGATCCCCTGTGCCCATGGCTTCCCTCATTAATTGAGGTTCCTGAGACAATTCCTGGCTCCTCCCAGGTGTCCTGCTTCCCAGGACCACCAGCTTCATCCAGAGGCTCTGTGGTCACCGCCAGTGCAGCTGAAAAGGTTCCATTCCCAATTCCAATTTATATCCCAGAGTGGCTGGTTTTGCAGCCAGTTAAGTCCCAATGTCCTGTGTTAAGTCCCAAAGTCCTGGAGGAGGGAATCTGAGCTGAGCTCCATTCCAGTGGAGCATTCCAAAACCTTTTGGGCAGAGCAACACCTAGACAGGACACAGGGACGTGGCTTGGAATGGAATTCCTGGCACACAAGTGGAAGGGCAAAGGTTTTCTGTGGAATAAGAGCAGTTCTGAATTTCATCCATTTCATTCATTTCATTTGCACGCCTGAGCTTCTCCAGGTGTCCCAAACATCCCAGCAGAGCTCCAGGGTGCTGCATTCCCACTTCCACGTGCTGACCTGCAGCCCGTGCTTATGGAAGATTTAAAGGCCAAGCTGTCAGTGCTGCTCTGGGGATGGACTTTTCCTCTTATAGCTCTGTCCCTCTAATTCTAATAGGATTGGGAAGAGGAGGCGGAGGCTGGAGCAGCGCCAGGAGCCAAGGGAGGGTTTGTTCCTTCCAGAGGCTTTGCACTCTTTGCTGGAGCTTTCTGGAAGTTTGTTCCTCTTCCAGCGCCTCCCGTTCCCTCTCTGGGATTTTGGGTTAATCCTTGGGACAGTGGGAGCAGAGGAGCTGCTCTGTCCTGGTTTTCCCTCATCCCAGGGATAACAAAATCCTCTCCGTGTGCTGGCTGTCCATGCTCTGCTCCCCCAGAAAAGCTGCATTAATCCCATTTTATTTCAGATTTCAGGTGGGCACTTGCTGCTTCCCAGGGTTTGGGAAAATTTCAAAGCCACCACTGGAAAGTGTTGGCTCAAATCCATGTTTTCCAACAAACACCACGGCTTTGGTGATATTCCATGGATGTGGTGAAGGGATGGAAGTCACCAAGCACTGGGACCCCCGGGAATCACAGCCACTGCTGAAACTCAAATGTTTGGGACTCTTCCTTCCCCCACTCCCAGGTTTTTCCCAGGATATCCTTTTCCATGGATTTACCTGGAAGGCTGCAGTGCCTGGAGAGCTGCCTGGAGAGTTGGCCTCGCACAATGGGACCTGGAAACAAAGGAGAAGGTTTGGATCTGGATCCATTCTCCATAATTATGGAATTCTGGTGACCTTCCTCCACACTTACCCACCCACGTGTGGGTCTGGGTCCTGCTCCAAAATCAGGAATTCTGCTCTTCCACATCCACACCCCCACTGGAGAGGGATGCAAGGAAAACAAGCACGGTGGTTGTGTCCCATGAAAAATCATTCCCTGGGATTTTCCCCTTGGATGTGCCATGAGCCCAGCCAGGTTTTATGGTGCTTTTCCAAAATATCTGAGCTCCTCACAATATTTCCTGCCTTTTGGAAGCTGGGAGTAACCTGACTCCCCCTTAATCCATGGGAAAGTTCTCCAGTTCAACCTCATCCCAATTTCAGCAAGGGTTGCCCCTGCATCAGCAAAAACCGGGAGTTTTTGGAAAGGGAATTTTGATCCCAGATGTCCTGTAGGAGCAGGGCCAAAGCAGTGTCCTGGTGCATCCCCTTCCCTAGGATTTGGGATCAGATCCAGCCTGGGCATTGCAGCACCCCAAGTTTTTTCCACTAGAAAAAAGAAAGAGCCACCCTCGTGCTCCTTGGAAGCCTGAGGAATATTCCCTGCTCTCCATCCCAGAAATCCTCAGCTGTGAAATGGGATCAACAACCTGTTTTCCATTCTCAGGGAAGGAGGGGAAGTCTGGAGTCACTCCCAAATGCTTTCTGAATTCCATGGCTTTTGCTGGAAGCAAAGGGGGCTGGAATGAGGCAACTCTGCCTGGCTGGAGCCGGTTGCTATTGGAGTTTTCCCTGGAAACCCATTAACACAACCTGGAGAGCGAGGTGAAAATTACCCTTAATACCAAAATATTGTTGGAAAGGGGGAAATTGGGATATTCCATGTGGGAGCTGAAGGAATAAACACATTTTTGACCAAAAAAGGGATTTTCTGCACTCTTTCCAGCCCTTCCTGAGAAATTTGCACCTGGTTCTAATTAACCCTAAAGCTTCATTAATGATCAGTTTGGCACCAGTCATAATTAATACCAAATGTGCATTTTTCCATGGAATAAAAGGTTTACCTGAGCACATTTGCAAATTCCATTTAGGAATTATGGCTGTGTATTAATTAAACTGAAATCATAATTAAAAGCAGAATTAAAACCCTTCTAATAAACATGAGGGGGGAATCCTTTGGTTTTATGTTCAGTCCACAAATGTGTGGATAATGGAGAGCAGTTATTCCATTTTCCTGAGGTCTCTTGGCTAAAGGCCATCCAAGAGGCTTTTAAGGAAACTCTGGAGCCAAGGGGGGATTGTTGAACTTCCAGCATGGATTAAAAGCTTATTAAGGGAGAGAAAAAAGGGATGGAATCAAGAGTTTGCTCCCAACATATAAATAATGGAATAATGGAATGTTCCCAAGAGGCCATCTTGGGATGAAGGGCTTTTATTTCCCAGGGAAGGGGAAAAGGGGAAAGAGCCACGAGGAAAATGGAGGAAATGGAATCATGGAGTGGTGGAGGTTGGTGGGAAAGAACCTTGGGATCAACTCTGATGGTGAATCTTCCATTGGGATGGATGGAACCACAAACAGGACGGAGGGATGTGCCTTGGGAATAGCCCATAAAGCTTGGTGGGGTTTAAGTCAACTTCAGAGACTCAGGAGAGAGCTGGGAATGTTCACCTGGGAAGGGAAGGACCCAGGGAGAGCAGGGGCAAGGCTAGGAGGGGTTTTATCCTTGGTTTTTTTGGATTTTTTTTTTTTTTTTTTTTTTTTTTTTTTGTGGAAGAATTAATCAGGAAATTGCAGCACTCTGGGCTTTAAGGTTGGAATTAAATCCCTTTCAATCAGTGGCTCCAAGCTCCTCCTATTATTTAAATAATGGCTTGGGATTTTTGTTTGATTTCATTTTGGTCTTTGGGATAAAAAGAGAAAAAAAACCCCCCACAAACAAAATAAACCAACAAAAATAAACCTCCATGGATCAGCACAGAAGAGCTGCTCTGAGCACACCCGAGGTGCTCCAGCTGTTCCCTGCCCCCTCCAAGGTTTTCATCCAAGATCCAATTAATTATCACGGAGCTGCGATCTCATCTGGGACATCCACGAGCACGGGAGGTCGCAGTGACCACTCCGAGCCCCAGATGTTGGATACTGGGAAGGAATTCCTGGCTGGGAGGGTGGGGAGGTGCTGGGATGGAATTCCCAGAGCAGCTGTGGCTGCCCCTGGATCCCTGGAAGTGCCCAAGGCCAGGTTCGAGGGGGTTTGGAGCAGCCTGGGACAGTGGGAGGTGTCCCTGCCATGGCAGGGGTGGCACTGGATGGGCTTTAAGGTCTCTCCCAATCCAAAGCATCCCATAATTCCAGGCCTGCTGCTGCTGCAGGATCCTGTGGGAGCACGAGCAGGGCAGGTGGGATCAGCCCCAGCTGGAAGGTCCAGATCCCGGGGGAGAAAGAGGGAATGGAGGAAGGTTCCTCCCCCAGGAGGAGCCTGCCCCTCTGGGATATCTGCCAGCAAACCTGGGAACAGAGCTGGGAACAGAGTTGGGAATAAACCTGAGAACAGAGCTGGGAACAGAGCTGGGAATAAACCTGGGAACAGAGCTGGGAACAGAGCTGGGAATAAACCTGGGAACAGAGCTGGGAACAGAGCTGGGAATAAACCTGGGAACAGAGCTGGGAACAGAGCTGGGAATAAACCTGGGAACAGAGCTGGGAATAAACCTGGGAACAGAGCTGGGAACAGAGCTGGGGACAGAGCTGGGAATAAACCTGGGAACAGAGCTGGGAATAAACCTGGGGACAGAGCTGGGAACAAACCTGGGGACAGAGCTGGGAATAAACCTGGGGACAGAGCTGGGAATAAACCTGGGTACAGAGCTGGGGACAGAGCTGGGAATAAACCTGGGAACAAACCCGGGAACAGAGCTGGGAACAGAGCTGGGGACAGAGCTGGGGACAAACTTGGGAACAAACCTGGGTACAGAGCTGGGAACAGAGCTGGGAACAGAGCTGGGAATAAACCTGGGAACAGAGCTGGGGACAAACTGGGAACAGAGCTGGGTCCAGAGCTGTGGACAAACTTGGCAACAAACCTGGATACAGAACTGGGAACAGAGCTGGGAATAAACCTGGGAACAAACCCTGGAATAAACCTGGGAACAGAACTGGGAATAGACCTGGGAACCAACCCGGGAACAGAGCTGGGAACAGAGCTGGGAACAAACCTGGGAACAGAGTTGGGAATAAATCTGGGAACAAACCCGGGAACAGAGCTGGGAATAAACCTGGGGGCACGGGGAGGATCCCTGGCCCTGCCAAGGCTCAGTGACAGCAGCCAGGACAGTTTGTCCTTCATTTCCCTGACACTGCTGGATGACCTCAGCTCCGGAGGGAGAGGAACCGCTCACGGTGGAGATCCCTGGTGCCAAAACCTCATTCCTCATCCAAATACAAATGAATCCCACTGGAAGGAAGCAGCTGCGCTTTCCAGGGGCAGCAGTTTGCTGGAGGGGGATTAAAACCACTCCAAAATGTCAGGAATTGGGAGGAGTATTTACCATCAGCACCTTATCGCAGCCCCTCATTGCCTGCTCCGCTTTCCAGCCTGCTGGAAGTGCTTTCCCGGCCCCTTTTGCTGACTTTGGGAACACCGGGAATCCTTCCAAACCAGGACCTGGGGATTTCAGTTCCCCGGAGCCAAATTCCACTCAAAGGCTGCGGCGCGGAGTTAATGGGTTTTTTTTTTTCTGTTTCCCCGGGGGTTGTGTTAAATCCCCTCCAGGCACGCAAAGGACAATGATAATTTGGGAATAAAATGGGAAACGTTGGCTGCGCCCTCGCTTCCCTGGGATTTGGAGCTGCTCCATTGAAGGGACCGAAGGCGGTGACAGGGACAAGGATGAGGAGCTGGGAAAGCAGCTGGGGATTTAAAAGGTGCAAGAGCCGCAGGAAAAATCGGGAGTCCCGAAGGTCAGGGAGGCTCTGCCTGCTCCCAAATCCCGGCTGGGATCTCTTGGAGTGATGGAAGCTGCGGCTGCTCCTGCCTGCGGTGGCTCTGGGGGAGCAGCCGGGTTCCCCTCCCCGGACAATGGCATTTTTGGGGTGCCAGGTTTGCTGCTGCACCCCCTAGACGCCAAGAGGATCCCGTAGGAGCCAAGGCATCCCAAGATCCAGGGAAAAAACCCTTTCCTTGGGGGATGCCCTTGGGGTCCGTGGCTGCGGAGAGGAGCAGGGGAAGTTTTAGTGGAGGGAGGTTGCGAAACAATTTCCTGTTTACTTCTCTCTTTTCTCAGTTAAATGCAGAAATGCTCCCGAAATGTCACTTGTGCCCTCTCCCCATCCCTTTCCTTCACCCTCAAGCCCTGCTCTCCATCCCGGCTCGGGGTCCCTGCCGCTGGAAAAGGCCGCTCTCCTGGCTCCTCGTGGCATTTAATCCTTGGAGTTGATTAAAGTGGGCCTTTAAAAGCAAATTAGGGACTAATGGGAATAATGGCTGTGCTCAGGGAGCGATTCTGGGAGAGGGGAGTGGGCTCTAATCCCTTGCTCTGCTGGAGAGGGGAAGGATTTGGGTTTATCCCGGGTGTTTTTGGAAATCTCATCTCCAAGGAACTGATCCCCAGGTGGGGCCAAGCAGGGTTTGATTTATCCTGCCCGGTTAAAAGCAGCTGGAGTGAGCTGGGGAAGTGTTGGGGGGGCTTGGAACAACCTGGGATAGTGGAGGGGGCCCTGCCCGTGGAACTGGATCAGCTCTCAGGTCCTTTCCAATCCAAACCGTTCCATGATTCCAGGACAATATTCCATGGTTCTCTCAGTGCTTGGGGGTCCAGATGTGGGCAGGCTGTGCTTCACTGGAGTGAGGATTTCCCCACATCCCAAAGGGGAGGGAACTCCTGGAATATCCTTTCCACATCTCCCAGCAGAGCTCTGCTCCCTGGGACACCCAATGAGGACCTCAAAGGACTCATTTCCTCACACTGTGCCTGGGGAAACTGAGGCAGGGCAGGCTGGGAGAGGCACAAGCCCCAGTCTGAGGTTGTTTTGTTGTCCCTTTGGGTTGTCCAGGTCCCCAAAACTTCCTGTGCACTCCTCATCTGATCCCAATAAATGCTCCCTGTCTGGCCAATCCCACAGCTCAGGGCTGGCCTAAGGAAAACTTGATTTTTTTCCACTTTCTTTTATTTATTCTTTTCATCTTTGAGCCTTAAACATTTGGGCTTTGTTTGGGTTTTCGGGGCTGGGCCCTCCCTAGCCCTGGAAAGGGCCCCAAACCAAAGCCAAACAAACCTCAATCCCTGTAGGGGCCATTCCTGAGGGGTTGGACTGGATGATCCCTGTGGGTCCTTTCCAATCCGGAATATTCCATGGTTCTAACTGGATGGGAACTCAAAAGCTGAATTTTGAAGGAAAAATCTGATTTTTTTCAGGCAGTTTTCCTTGTGAAACGGCCCCAAAATCTGCAGCTCCTCATGCCTGCTCCTGGTGGGAAGGGGCTGTTGCTCCCTGGGAATAACATTCCAGAGATTTCATGCCAGGGAACAAGCTGCTCCTCCTGCCTGCTTCCCACAGGGATCTTTGGAATGATGGCACAGGACCATGACAAGGCCAGGCTCCATCTCCCTTCAGAATTCCAGATCCCAGGATCCCAGACTGGTTTGGGTGGGAAGGGACCTTACATTTATCCCTGATGGGAGTTTTTAGGGGTGTGGGGGTGAAGGAAGGATTCACCCTTTAGGATGCTGGTGGCTCTGCATGCCGGTGGATTTATCCCACTGGGATTTATCCTGGAGCAGGGAAAGGAGGGACAGCAAACATTTGGGATGCAGAGGTTGTGCTTTGGCTCCAAAGAGATTCAGTTGGGATCTGGTTTAGGTTATTTGCAGGAACATCTTTCCCTCAGATCCTGCCCAGCTCTCCTGGAGCAGGAGGGGAAAATTCCCAGCCATCCATCACCTGGAATGAAGGAAAACATTTTGGACTGCCAGAGCCTTTGAAGGAAACCACCTGGACATCCTCAAGTCCAGCCTGCTCAAGCTCAGCACAAACTGTCAGTGCAGGTTGAACGAGATTTATTTGGCAAATTCTCTGGCACTCACCAAAATCCAACACGTCCAACAGCTCCCAAAATTTCCAAGAGACCCAGACACTCCTCTGCCTTCCCCCTCCTGCTCCCCACAGCCCTGGGAAGGAGGCCCAGAGGTCTCTCTGTGGTCAGCAGCTGCTAAACTGAGCCCAAACCCTTGTTTAGTTAAACCCCTCCTAAACAAAGCGTCCAGGCTGCAGTTTCTGCACCAGGAATTGGGAAATCCCCCCGCTCTCCAGTGGTTCTTCCCCGTGCTGGATGCCCTTGTTGTTAAAGGGAGTTTTTGGGGGTTTGTTTTTAAAATAAATAAGATTTTGGTCAGGATAGGGGGAGCTTGGAGCAGCCTGGGATGGTGGAAGTTGTCCCTATTTCTGGCAGGGGTTGGGGCTGGGCTGGATGAGCTTTAAGGTCCTTTCCAAGGCAAACCATTCCCTGATTGTTTGGGAGAGGAAGAGGTTGGTTCCAACTTCCAGCTGCTTCTCCCCTCTCTGTGCTCCTCCATCACCAAATCCTTTCTATTTCAACATTCCATCAAATCCCTTGGATTTTTGTGGCAGGATGGGATTTCAGGACTGGGACTGGGATTTTTGTGTCCCCCTCTAACCCCCACAGGAGCCTCCTTGTCCTCTTTCCCATCCCATGGGATTGAGCTGCTCCACGGGGATGGGGAGAGCTGAGCTCTGGGACCCCTCTGCCTCCCAAGGGTGGCCCTGGAGAGGGGCTGGAGCCAGGCCGAGCACACAAAGTGTTTCCAGATGTTCTCCAGGGGTGGCAGAAGTGCCTGATGGAGACAGATGGGATTTGGCTTTCCCTTAAATTCAGCTTTTGTGAAGAGCAACTGGCAATTTGTGGGCAGGTGCCTGCCTGAGAAGGCAGAGCCAGCCCCAGCTCCTGCTCTGCCTCCCTCCCACCAGGGGTTTATTTTGGGATGGAGGATTTTCCAGGAATCTCGAAAGGAGAGGCTGGGTTGTGCTTCCCCTGGGAGGGAAGTGCCCTTGGGGAGCTCTTGAGGGGAGCGTTCCTCGGTGTGAGCTGAGCTCTGCACTGAGGGCAGGCGCCTTCCCCAGGGACCCACACAGGATCTGCTGCCTGGACACCCCTGGCACCTCATTACCTACAAACCCAT